TCTCGTGAAAACCAACGTTTGTTAACAGGATCAAAGGAAGCAAAGTTTCCTTACTTTAGCAAAGGAAAACCAGTCTCCTATTGGCTTATATCGAAATCCTCCGACATTCTTCTTTACAAATCCTCGTTTTGTACTTCTAATTAGTGGCCTTTGTTTTGTTTTGATCTCTCCACTGCGTTTCCGTGTTCGTCACTTCTGAGAGGAGCATGCGCAGCGCTGACCTCATACGTCATCCTCCCAGAACTGCTTCCGTTTACAACAGTGAGCGCAAGCTAGATTAAAGTGATTATTACGTTTTGAATATGGATATTTTTCTTACAAAAATGCATCGATTCACTACAGAAGGCCTTTGTTCACACCCCGGAGCTGTGTGAGACACTTTTTTTTTTATGGATGGACGCTTTTTATTTCACTTCTTTTGGACTGATGCATGCAACATATACAGTGTCATATACAAAGTCATATACACCTTGGATGCCTTGAGGGTGAGTAATTTGTGGGCTAATTTTCATTTTTGGGTGAACTAACCCTTTAAGTAGCACGGGTATATTTGTAGCAATAGCCAAAAAAACATTGTATGGGTCAAAATGAACGATTTTTCCTTTATGCCAAAAATCATTAGGATATTAAGTAAAGATCATGTTCCATGAAGATATTTTGTCAATTTCCTACCGTAAATATATCAAAACTTAATTTTTGATTAGTAATATGCATTGCTAAGAACTTAATTTGGACAACTTTAAAAGTGATTTTCTCAGTATTTTGATTTTTTTTGCACCCTCAGATTGCAGATTTTTAAATAGCTGTATCTCGGCCAAATATTGTCCTATCCTTACAAACCACACATCAATGGAAAGCTTATTTATTCAGCTTCCAGATGATGAATAAATCTCAATTTTGAAAAATGGACCCTTATGACTGGTTTTGTGGTCCAGGGTCACATATGAGCTGTCTGAATGAATCAGTTAATTAAAGCGAATTTGACTTAGAAAGAAAGTGTTTGATTATTGCTTTTAGTAACTTCCCAACACTGATACACTCGCAGCTTCATTAAATCTTGTTGTTTGCTCCCAACACCTCATGGTTTCATCATGTTGAATAAGCTCACCTCCATCTTGGTCTGAATCCAGGGTCCGATGATGTTGGCCTGAGCGGCGAAGGAGCGCCGCAGCCTCTCATTGGCCTGTTGCCTGGCAACCTCCTCCTGCAGCATCTGGTCTCTGAGGGGAACCAGCTGCTTCACCTGCAGGGGGCGACAGATCAGAAACACACATCTGAGTCTTTTCATGCAACCAGAAGTGAAGTAAATGACTAGCCATGAGCTTTGTGTGTCTGTACTCACTGCCTCCCATTTGTTGGTGATGTCCTGTGGGCTGAGGACCGTGTAGGGATTGACTCCGACCAGCTTGATGCCGTAGGTCTGGGCGATCTTGGTGATCTCGTTCTGGATGCCCATGATGGCGATGCGCTCCTTATCGGCTTCTGGCAGGGTGGCCTTGTACTGATCGTGAGCTGTGATCAGACTCTGAAAGAGAAATAGAGATTAAAGGTGTAGTTAATGGTGTCCTATTATGCTTTTTTACTTTTTCAACAGTAGTTAGTGTGTAGTGTTGCTGTTTGAGCATAAAAAAGATCTGCAAAGCTCAAAGACCACTCTACACTGAGATATTCTCTTTAACAGAAAACACTTTACAAGAACTGCAGTGCACTTCTTCACAATATCACTCTTTTAAATAATTCCCGCCCACAAAAAACCCTCAAAAACGCGGTCGAAGCCAGCACTGCATTTCCCACAAGCATTGTAAGCTTAAGTACATCATAGACCCATTGAAACCAATGGAGCTACGATCAACTTTGGGAAATACAGCCCTGATTGAGCTGCACTAGAGACCATAGACTGTAATGGCAAAATTAGTTAAAATTTACAGCTGAGCAGATGAAACTCATGTTATGGTAAGAGGCATGCCACTCTAAGCGGTTCTCCAATCACAACGCGCTGGGCCAGCTAACCAATCAGAGCGCATTTCGTGTTTAGGAAAGAGGGGCTTCATTGAAACAGGAACTGAACAGGGTGTTTGAGACAAACTGGGAAGAGCGGTCCTGCAATTCAATCTTTGCAGGGAGTTTGATTGACAGGCGATCTAACCAATCATAATCTACCATTTTATCCAACAAACAAACCAAAGAGGAGAGTAGATTAACATCCGTGGACTTGAACTTGAAAAATAGCATGTGTTAAGGTCTTTCCACAGTTGAATTTAGATACCTTCTGATGTTCATTCATGTTTATTTCGTGCTATAACTAGCAAAGAGGAAGAGATGATCGGTTCACGTGCCGCTTGAACTGAGGTGCTACAGAGATCTGTCACAACACATTAAAGAGCCATAAATCTGTATTTATTGTTTGAATTTCAAATTTGAAAGCGGAGACTTTTTGTTTCACACCAAAAGTAACCTGCTCTGTTTTGTCTGTCAATGTGTTGTCAGTTTTCTCTTTGCTCCGTGATGTATTTTTCACTGCATGAGAACATGATGTGTGGCGTGAGAGTGCCACGACTTGTCAGACATAGCGACAGTAACTCAGTTATGTAAAATATGTGACCAATAATGCATTTTTGTAACAATCAAGCATGAAAACCTATTCTAGTACACCCCAAAAACCAAATCAAGACTTCATAAAAGGGCATAGGACCCCTTTAAAGGGGTCACCGAATGCATTTTTTTAATTATTTTAGAATGTTTCCTGAGGCGCATTTATAATCGTACTTTTTTTTTTCTATCAAAAACAGTCACAATTTAAGTATTATGGAAGAGGATTAGGGCCAAGCAATAATAAAAAAATAAAACCATCTCGAGATTAAAGTCGTTAAATTTCGAGAAAAAATTCGTTACATTTCAAGAAAAAAGTTGAGATAAAATGTTGAGATTAAACTCATTAAATAACGAGAAAAAAGTCGTAAAATTTCGAGAAAAAAAACTAGATTTCCAATTTTCCGATGTGATATTTGATGAGAAAAGGAAGAAAAGCGAGTTTGGCAAAAGATGGACTCAAACCCAGTCGATTGTATCAGTCGCTACTCCCCAGTGCATTACTCTCCAACCCACCCCACAGCAGACGCTAAATAACACCGTCCAACGAGATGAAATGAACATGATACGAGTGTGTTTATTCTCGACTTTTTTCTCACAATTTAACAACTTTTTTCGCGTAATTTAATGAGTTTATTCTCAACATTTTATTTAGACTTTTTCTCAAAA